TAGCCTCTTAAAAATATCGCAATAAATATCGTACCGTGAGGTGCATATCGTAATAATATCATACTGTGAGATTTGGATATCATTACATCCCTAAAATATGACAGTAAATGTTGTACCAAATGACTGGTCATAGCATTTTATGATGTCAGTCTTGTTATTATGTATAATATCGTAATATCATGAGCCTCCCCACCATATTGTGAGCTTTCCCACGATAGCGCAATAATACTGTGAGGTTCATACCATGATGTTATTGTAACACGAGACTTTGATATCGTTACACCCCTAGTATTTAGGTCTCTCAATTAATTACTCAACTTTCAATATATAATATACTTGTTCAATATATGATAGAAAGAACAATATTTTCGTGAGTACTTATACTTGTATAACTTTTCTGGCAGAGGGTCCACCACCTGCTTATTTCTGTGGAGATCATTATGCTTCCTGGAATGTTCCACACAATGTTCCACGGCTCTACCTTACATTTCTTCAATTACAGTTGGTTTTATAGGTTATACGGTTGCCTCTCCATAGATCTGACCAGTAACTTGGTCTGGTTTGGTCTCCAAGATGATAGAATGGTTTAATGCCATGCTGTGAAACATTCCAAACAAAGCACTAACATCATGGAAAAAAGCATTTGATGGACCCTCCACTAGAAAATTTACACAATGCACCTTTAAGCCTCTATAAAAAGATATAGTATAATATATAATATATAATATATGTGACACTTTATACTAGAATTAACTACTTCAGTGTTTAATTTATTAATTTATTGGCCACATTTTTTTTTTACAATAATGCTCACTTAGACAAAACATTCAATGGGATTATCCTGCTTTAGGCTTATTGTGTCAGTGGTATTATGCAGTTTCAATATTATAATTTATCGGGATATTTTTCTGTCTCAATATATCTTACTTTTGAAGGCCTAGTTATGATTATTTTAGTAGTTGACAAGTCACAATTATTCCAATTAATTGTTGCAGCCCCTGGTGTTTAGACTAAGATAGAAGACTTCAGGGGGTACTTCTCACTAAAAGGAAAACACTTTGAGGGAGCATTCACTGTGTTCACTGTGGCAATCACTCTGACTGACAGGGCAAAATCAGCACAACAAACTCCAGCACTGAGACCAAGACATTTCTGTGCCCTGTGTGAGAGGGGGAGAAGCTTTTAGGAATACAATGCCCAATCCTTTTATCCAAATCTGCCCACCAAAACACCCCGACCGAACCACATGTACTGCTGTGCTCCACTGCTAAACAAACCTCACAATATATTCATGCATTTCATTTTCATTACACAAGTTGAAATTCAGCAAAATGGTCAAAGCAGCGGCCTCACCGACTCTAATAGGAATAATATATAATCCCTCTACACAGTCACAGTGGTACACACTCTCCAGTGCACAAACAGCTGAGCAGAAGGACACGAAGCCAACTGCTATCTGTGGGAGGATGGGGGTGGTTATACAAGCATGTTTACAGGACATTTCCTGTAGCCGAGCTTTGAGAGCATCATCAGTCCCCCAGACAAACAAACACTCACATCCCAATACTCTGGTGTGAAATGTCATCTGACAAAGTGCCCATAAACTGTGAGTTGTCAAAAATGTCAAAAATCACTCATAAATATTATCTTATTAACTTATGCTCCAGACTTTATTTTATCCCATGTATGGTAGCTTGAAGTCTGACCCTGGGCTGCGCAATACGTCACAGCTGAACTGAAAAAGGAATTTGAGTTGGTACAATTATCAAATCGCAAGACTCCAACAGAATGCCCAGTCTTTTTATACAATCTTTGTGTACCTGTAGTTAGACCTATACAAACATGTTCACTCATCTCTCAAATGTTAAAGCTTTTGGAGTTGTTTAAATATGCACTCTGAACAGAATCTTACTATTTAAACATTCATGTCAAATCTAATCTCACAAGCATGATAAATACTTTACTTATCTTTCAATATATAAAAAGCTGGAACAATATATTTTGGGGCTCAGTATTTATCATGTGCACATTTTCTTTGCCATAATGGGAAGATTTTTGTAATTTTAGTTGTAATGAACTTCTATGGCTGATTATACGTTCACTCTGAGCGATTTATCTGTTTGAGATACAGATACTGTCTATTCTAAAATGTGTTTACTGAGATTATCCTGCTTTGTGTCAGTGGAATGACATAGTTTCAGTATGATCTTTTATTGCAATACTTCTCTGTATAAATATATCGTGCTTCAACATTTGTTATCGTAACAGGCCTAGCATGCACTACTTCATCTCTGTGAGGAGTTACAGCCTCCTCCAGTCTGCACGTGAGAGCACCTCATTTCACCAGCACCAGATTCTCCCAGAGGACCCAGAGAAGTTTTCACCTCAGAGAAAGTTGTGGGTGATCTTTTTAATGTTCTGAGCAGCATAAATAATTTAAGGCATTTGAGCCCCATTCAGAAGGTAAATATTTACCTGAGTTTACCACACTATGGCAACATCGATGGCATTAGACATTCATTAACATGGCATTGTTATTCTGCATTGCTCAAATAGTTTTAAACATTCATTTACAAAAAGAAGATATGACAAAGAATCAGAGGGTACCTGAAATCGGAAAGGATTTTTTGTGCAACAAACATCAAAGAAATATTTGTTAAGCCTATGCACATGAGCTATGAAATAAGAGAGTATTATATCTGATCATTTGTGAGGAAAGGTTCACGTTGTCTTAAATCATGTTCTCATGAATACTACACAACTTCATTTGCACACATTGTTGAAACTGCTGTTTCAGCGCTCAGCCAAGCTATTACGTTTGATGTATTAATATGAAAGTCAACCTTGGTTCAATTGCCTTGTTCTAATGCACAGCACATGTTATAACTAAGAATTATAGTCTACAGTACCATTTTGAAACAGGAGAGGATTACTATTTAAAAAGGTCTTTTAAAGGTCTGTCTGCAATGTCGCCACTGATGGCAGGTCATAAAGGGTCATAAACCTTAGTGGGGTCCTAAGTTAAGTGGCATCAATAATTTACTGTGTGTGTCTGTTGTGCATTCTTAGTGTTATAGAAGGACTATCAGTGGTCACATGACTCAGACTTAGTCTGACAGTGGGTCTGGTCTAAGATGTGACATTTCTCATTTAACATATGTACTATAGTTTTACACTCTTTGCCACATCTTCCTAAATGTCCTTACACCAATAAAATACTGCATTCTAAATCTAAACTGTTATGACATGCATATGAAAATAGGCCAATGACTGTCTTACTGGTTTGCATGGGTCTTTTCCATATTTCCTGTGCCATGATAAACCATTGAGTTTTACAGCCCACCTGAGGTGCTCTCCACTGACGGGGCAGTTTTCAAGAAGAAAGGCCTCTGAAATGGGTTTGGCCTTCAGGTGGCCTTTGGAATGGCAGATTCTTTTAAATACAGTGATAAAACATTTCAATCCTAACGCCTGCTGCTCACTTCCCAGTGCTCCTCTTGAAATGAAATTACCCACAGTAACGACACAGTGAACTGTAGCTGAACGTCTGAATGTCAATGACAAAGGCTGCAGTGTGTGGAGGGGGCGTCATACAGGAGAACACCGCACAGGCAGGAGCAAGTCAAATACATCTGTACTGTCAATGCACATCCACAGTTTTGTTTAGCAGCCTTCCAAACAGTTTAGCATCTACATGAGCTTGTGGGAACAAGTGGAATATTACAAAAGAAACAGTTATAAATGCAGTATATAAAGCCCCTACTGCAGTCTAGGCCAGTCACAATAACAAGTTTTGAAGTGCAATATTTTCACTACAAAAAAATACAATAAATGATAATACTGAAACTACTTTATGCCACTGATATAATGACCCTATAGAGACCTGATAATCCCTTTGAACCTAAAAAACTTACCTGTAATAAAGAGAAAGCAAAATTAAACACTTAGTTAAGTATATAATTAGCCACAGAAAGTACTTTTTCCACCCCTTTTCAACCCTTTACAGCTCAAATCTTATACGTAACAAAAATAACAAAGAATATATTGTTCCACATATAATGTATTGAATGTTCATAGTGTAACTATCATAACAGGCCTACAGCAGAATATCTAATGTACTGAAGGACTTGAGTCTTACTATTCTAACCTGGATTTCACATTGGCACTTGTGTTGTCAGAGCAGGAAGTACTTTAATCAGTGCGGGGCTGTCTGAGATTCACTCTGGAGAGAGGTGACATGACTGACACTGACTGTGATTTAAAACAGTGTCTCACAACTTTAAATTAATCATCTTTTCTTTCCTGGTGCTCATCAAGTCTAAAACAACATGCTGTAAATCTGTCTCTTTTATTCAGGAGAACAATCAGGCTATAAATAAGGACCCAAAATCAATGTCTATAATGTTACAGGAGTCCAGATAACTACAATACTGCCATTGCAGTTTGTGTTGAGAGCATGCCTATATGACATGCACATTCAACGATTTAAAAAGTAGCTAAATGAGGTAGCATTTAATGTAATTCTTCTCACAGTTTGACTAAAATTAAGATGTAAAGTAGTGAGTAATGAGTATTGACCTCCAATAGTGTGCAGTTGTGTACAGGCTATAAAACCTACTCAACAATTTCACCTCGTGGGCCAAGCCAGCGGGCTCTGGGGCCACTTTATGCAAGAGCCATCAGTAGCCAATTACAACCGCCCCTTGGTCAGCGCAGCCAAGAAACACAAACGGAGATAAATGCGCTGGAAATACACCAACATATCTCTATCTCACCCACGGACATCGTTTAGTGCTTTCCATCAGCGTTATAGTGCTTTTATTTCACATAAGACAGCAGATTTGGTCAGTGGAGCTCAATAGGGACTGTGTGGGCATCGCTGACACGCACTAAAGAAGAAGGCATCCCCTAATTACGAGACGCTAGTGGCTTTCACGTGAACTGCGCAGTAGATAACTGGTGGTATGCCCGCACACACGTAAAGTCCCTGGGTTACTTACTTTTCAGCGCGGTGATGAGCATGTTGCCATCCTTGATAAGATCTTTGATGAATTTATTGGTGCGCTCTAACTCTATTTCGTGGCACTTCAGTCTTTCTCTGAAGTCTGGGCTGTCCAAAAACGAGTCGCTAAACTCCAGCGTAGGGAGTCCCATTGTCGCTGCACACAAAAATAAAGGCGTTTTCAAAGTGAACTCGACATAAACGGGTTTCTTTCTCCTCACTCAGGAGCACACTGCTCTGTCCGGTGCCTAAAAAAGTTTTGTTGCTCCGCTCTCATCACTTCCGCCTCAACTTTCCCTGCGCACCCTGCACCTCTGAGACGGGCGGCGGTGGTCTTCTGACTCCTGCTGGATACTTGGGGCAAACTTTACAATGGCCTCAATAAAGGCGTGCTGTAGTGGAGATCTGACTGCATGTAACCGAACATTGTCATTTCTTTTGGATTAATGACCCGATGGCTCTCCACTGACTATGATACACGATCACTAAAATAATAGGCTTACAAGGTTACTGTTTGCAGAGTGTTCATTAGTAGCCTAAAAGATGCAATCATCTGTTAATATAGTCCCTAATAGGTACAAACAGTAGGTTTATTAGGTTTGGTGTAGTAGAAATAGTTGGATTAGCCTAAAGTAGAAGTTTGTTTCCTTGCTCAGACGAGTGCTTGACAGATACAGTTAGGCTATATTTATAAGGCCTACAACAATAAATTAGCCCAAAATGCAATGCAATCGGCTAAAGCCTATAGGCCTCTGCTATAAAGGGTTCACTGTTAATTCAGCAGCAATCGACTGTATATCTATGCCTATTTACTCTGCATAAAACAGCTAGTTTGTTAAAAGTGGTGCTAAATTAGTGAATAACACTGATATAAAAGCTAAGGCAAAATAAATAAAACTGACTGGTGAGACTGGTGCTGCTATGTCACCTGGAAAAGTTTTAACACTGTTGGGTCCAATTGAGCATGTATTGTATTTATGCAAGAGACCCTACTCACCCTTACCTCCCATTGCATCAGTAAATTTGAGAACAAATATTACATTATTATAGAGCTGCCACTGGTCTGTGGCCTACTGCTAAGCTGATTATACTGGCACATTTTAGTAAACTATATGCTATAGCACTATAGGTGCATTTTCAGGTCACAAACTTTAGAAATATGAATGATGACTTATGATTACCAGTCTCAGCTGTGGGATTTCAGCAAATACCTTGACAAATTGGGGTAATTAAGCTTTTGCTTAAGAGTTGAAGGTATTTGTCATAGTCTTCTTGCATTAGAAAGATTTGGATAATGATGTCACTGTTCAAACGGGTATTATGACACTTGGGCTGATCCCCTGTCACTACAGCGGCACTAAGCCTGGATGACTCTTTCTTACACTGCATCAGGGCCATTACTTAAGCCTACATGTGTTTCTGCCTTGGTCACAGACAAATTAAAATGCATAAATAATTTACTACTTCACTATCAGGTGCAGACCAGACCATGTAGACTGAATGTAGTCTTTTCTCAATGTCATTTGGAAGGCAGCCCTGTGCTCCTCTTCCTTGATAACTAGTGCACAACCTTTACTAATAAGAGCCTGGTTTGACTGGAGGACGCAGGAAGATAAATCATGTGCGACAGATAACCTTCCTCTGCAGCACCATGCAGCCACTGCTTAAGTTGTTACTGTGCTAATGCACATGCTCCAGCAGCAGCCACTAGTGAAGCCAGTACTCCAAATCCCAATTACAAATAATTAAATATATGCTGTGTTAAACATACACAGCAAATTTGAGAGTATTAATTCAACTCGTATTTTGTTAATTTTAACACTTTTACCATGTCATATGGGGTCCACAACAAAATGAGTTAAACTACACTACACAGTGTAGAAGGCTCAACACTGGTAAAGTGATGTAACCACACTCCTCATAGTTGAATTTGACACTGATTAAGATCTGTTTTTTTTTACACAAGTGTATAGTGAAAAACTAATAACTCTATATTGCTATGTTTTAACATTTTAAAGTTATACACTTTATGAAGTAGAAATAGTGTAGTGTTCTTCATGTTACACTATTCAATAGTAACTCTTTCTTCACTAAATACAGTGTAAATGCTGTGGTCATTCTAGTTCATAATCCCTTTTACAAATGTAAAATAATGAAAACCACCACAAAATTCCATTTTAACTTAACTTGTATTAAAACAATGCACATCATACAATCAACTCATTTTAAACAAGTCATATGACACAATACTATTTTTGCAAAATCCAACTGACAGAAGGAATTCTCTGTGCCCTCAACAGTTGGTCACAATGATTGTCTTTTTTTTTTTAAAGCTGATTTTTCAATGCAGGCAGTCGACGGATGAATCAAGATCTTGTTTTGAATGAAATTCAGGCATGCTCATCTCCAAAAATGAGAGGAGCATGTCTGACTGTTTAAAACAAGATCTTCTACATTATATAAACATAACAATGTTCACAATAGAGGCAGTCCTGCTAATTATGAAACATTAACATTGCAGAAACTTTTTACCTCAAGAAGTCAGTCTTTCACTCTTGGGGTTTCTTTTGACACATCCAACATCCATGTTGTAGACAGTTCTTTGAATACAGGTGTAAAGTTTGTGAGAGTCTGATGACCAAGTTATATTTCATTTCTACATTTAACCATTTCATGACATACCTGCAAATTTTTGATGAGATGGTTAATGGCTTGAGCCTTTATCTTTCCATTTTGCATGTGAACCAGCAGCAAGATACTCACCGTAAAGAAAATACAAAAAAGAACGTATCATTACTCTTTTTCAATAGCATGTTAAGACATTTCATTGGGTAAGACATCATACTTGAAGATATTTTATTTTTACAGAATACTGCTAACCATTTATTAGAAATAATTTTAATAATTCTCCACTTGGTACAATATCCTACCTCAACACACCACACAAAAGTGTGCACGTTTATAAGCTATTATTAAGAAATGTGAATACAGCGAATGAATGCAGCCCAAAGTGTGAAAAACAAGGTGAAAACTCAGAAGAGGTAAGCTAACTAATGCTAAGCTAATGAATGCTAGCCTGCCCTTCACTTCAGTATAGACCATGGATCTATTAAAATAACATATAGACCGGGGGTCCGTGTCGCGGCCATTAGATTTTCGTTTGGAAATGGAGAACCAGTACCGGGTGCAGGCAGAGACAGGGCCGTGTGAGGGCGTTTGGAGACGGAGCAGAGGCAGAGCGGGACTCACCTGGTTTAGGCGTATGCGGGTGTCGGGTTAGACCTGGTCAAATGCGGGTTTAGTCCTTGTTTAGAGAAGATTCCACCTCCTCTGGTGCCCAGTCCACTACAGGCTACGGAGCGTGTACCGTGTCCCCGCTGCCCGTGATGTACAGCCTGCAGAAACACCGGGAATCCCAGACAGACGCTCCCCTCAGAGACTCAGCAGCAGCGCAGCCGCTGAGAGCCTCTTCGGTCAGTGCTCCGCTGCGCTGTAACCCGGTCTGGAAAGTGAAGAGCATCACGGACACTTGTCACGGGGCTTTGAGGGCTGCTCTACGACAAAAACACGGACAAAAAGCAAATAGATTTTCGGCTTACAACAAAGTGTTACGAGTTTGTATTTCCCATTTCTACACGAAAATCGAATACAATGTGAATGTACAGGGACCCAAGAGCCCCGCATGTACATGAATGTCTGAGTCTTTCTTTCCCCCCACAAGTAGCAAAATCATCTGTGGAACATTATTCACTCTAAATACTCTATTGTGGTACATTTGATAACTTCTTAGGCTAAGTGCCAAGTAGCAGTTAATGCTACCACAATGTTACGGTCAGACATTTGTACACTGTACAGTCCTGGTAAATTCTAATTATTTTGCAACTACAATCTGACAAATCAGATGTTTCGTCCAGTTACTTTTAACTTAAGTTACTTGAGGAGTAGTTTCCCCAAATACTTTTACTCTTAGCTACTTAACACATTTTTTGGACTTCTACTTCTACTTCTTACTTAGACTTGAGAAATATTTTTTGAAGTAATGTTACTATAGTACAATTTGTGGCTTTTTTACCCAATTTTCATGGACATCAGTGACAGCAACATTGACTGGCACAGCTAAGTTAGTTTATTTACTACTACTAGCATTAGACCAAATATATTTAGTATTTTTATTAATAAAGTAACTGCAGAGTGTCCTAAAAAGGTAAAGTAATCTGACCCGGGGTTTCTGTTGGAAAACAAACGCTATTAGCTGTTAGCTTAGTTTCGGGTGGTGAAATGTGGCTTCCTTCTCGGGCTGTAGTTCTCCAGCTGGAAACGTTTCAAAAGTCCAACACTGATGTAGTGTAATATTAAAAATAGACACTTTCTAAGTGTTTGACGTTGACACTGTGAATCAACAACTACTTATTTTACTCTACAGCACTGTCATAGTTAAAATAAGTCTTTAGTATGTTGAAACATATCTGGATTTTATTCACTTTACTCATAACAACACCAACACTGTGAATTTAACACATTTGAATTTTCTGTGTATGTTTTAATCTGTATTTGTATGTGCAATGTGTATTTTAATTCAGTAAGTTACTCAATACTTCAGTGACTATTCAAACTGAAGTCCAGAGACAGTGCGATCAAAAGCTTTTGTCATTGTGTACCATTAAAACATATAGCACTTAACTGTTAAGTCTATCACTACCCTTTTGTTTTATTTGGTTTGTATTTTGCAGCACATAAACAGAATAATAAGATACTTGAGGAAGGACAGCTGCTCAGAAGTGGAGCAGGCGCTAGTTGCACCTGCAGGACATTGCACCTGTATCTGCTCTCACACATTTGCATCAGAGGTGATGAAATTTAAAGCCTGGCAGTGAAACCAAATATGAGCCCTGAGCAAATGATTGGGAGGTGTAACACCCTCATTGGGGATACCACTAAAATGATATTAAACATTCACAAGGCAGAATCGGCCATGGAGGGTTAGGGTGTCCAGTTTGCTGGGGGATATGTAATTACTGCTGTCATTATTATGCCCTTGCAGGCCTCATCCATTCGCAGGATTGGAGGAAGCGTAATGGTTGGCTGCACAGGTATCTCACTGAGAGTATAGCTAAATATACAGAAAACAGCTGTGTGTCATTTTGGGCTATGTGAAAAACACAACACAGTGATGTGGTCTGAAGCGTGGCTAATTGCAAACCTAAATAGCTGCCTGTGGAGTCATTGAGAGGAATCTGCGTTAATTAAGATGAAACTTAACAGAGATGTGTGCCACATCACTGAGTA